TGCCAGGGTGCCCTCAGCCCCATTGAGGGGCTTTTCCCACTGCGTGGGCACCCCCCCCACCCAAACCCAGCTCTTTAGCCCCCCTGGTGCTGTGCCCTCGCCCTCCACCTCACCCCACCGGCTTTCTCCCAAATTTAAGTCTCCTAATTAACGATATCCTGCTCTGTGCTGGGAGCTGCATCCTCTGGGCAGAGAATTAGGACTGGGATGTGGCAGGGGGGGGGGCTGTGCAGCCACCCCCCCCCCACACACCGAGCGGATCTGTGCAGCCACCCCCCCCACACACACAGAGCGGGGCTCCCCACGAGCACCCTGGGCTGGCTCTGAGCACTGGGGCCCCAAGGATGGGGTGGCCTTGGCCATCCTCACTCAGTCAAGGGCAGAAAGAAAGAGGATTTAGTGATAAGGATCCATTTTTTTCATTTTTCTGCCCCGAAGTGGTGACCCCAGGGCCCCAGCTGGGCTCTTGCCTTATTTTCTTAACCCCTCCAGCTAGAAATAAAGCTGTTTCCTACGCAGATCCCCTCTCCCGTGTGTTTCTGCAGCGTGTGGGTGGCCGAGGCACGGCCCCTCCGTCTCCCTTTGCTTCTTCAGGGCCACGACGGTGCTGGGGCGCAGCCGGATTCGCCTCCGGCCACGCTGGGGGGTGAAGGTTTTCAGCGTGGGTCAAAGCCAGGGAGCAGCACGCTTATCTGGCACGAAATCTGCACACCCACGCAGCATTTCAGGGAAACTTTTATCTCACACCCCACAGCCACAGGAGGGGAGGGGGGGGCCACGGCGCTGCCAAACCTGGATGTGTCCCCACGTCCCTGCATCACAACCTCAGAAGAGCAGGACGGCTCTTCTATCCCGTTTTTTTTTAATTTTGAGGGGCTCTCGTGCATCACGAGCCCATTCTGCCCCGACGTGGGTGCTGCTTTCTGGATTTTCCCTGCTTGTTTTGGAGCAGGAAGCCGCAGGGCCGCTCCTGACTGCGGGAGGTGGGTGCTGTGCCGAGGGACGGTGTCCGAGGTGGTGCTGAGGTACAGCAGGAGCGGTCTTGTGAGCGACGAAACCACGGCAGCGGCAACACGTGGCTTGCTCGGCGTTAAAAAAGCCGTGGACGGATCTCTCAGAACGAGGGACTTATTTTTAAATGCGGTTTGTCACATTTTTGAAAGCACCCCAGGCATGAAAAAAATGGAGAGTAAAGGCTCTTGGGTGGTTTAAAGCCTTAAGAGCAGGCAAATTTCCTGTGTTTTCTGCTTGTTTTGGAAATGTAGGGAAGTATTTTCCTGGGAAAGAGCAACCACTGGAAGGCAGAGGAGAGCACAGAGGGGGAGCCATGCCAGATCACCACGAAAACACCGAATTTCCAACCCCTGGTGTGCTCCCAGGCTCAGCTGCAAACCCTCCAGCAGGTGACCACCACCCCACTCTCCACACCACAGGGAGAGCAGCAGGATGAGGGGCATCACTGCCCTGGGCACAACTGGCCCCGTTCAAACCCAAGGGCAGATTTAATCTCTTTTAACAGAGCCCTCAGCCAATCTAAGGGTTGAAATCTTACAGACAGCACTCCCAAAATTCAGATTGCTTCTGTAACAGGAGCTGCAGAAATACCCCGAGCGTTGGGTTGTGACAGGATGTGAGAAGTGAGCCCCGTCTGCGCTGCTCGCCGGGTGTCACCAGTGCCCCCCGGTGTCCCAGCACCACGGGGAGCAGGAACTCGCAGGCAGATTGCGAAATGAAACCCCGACACGGCCGTGTTTGCGGGCAGACGCCGCCCCACGCTTGTTTACTGCGCCGATACACAGACTGACCCGCAGCTCTGACATAAACGTGAAGACCGAGGCAATGTTTCCCACTAAACTCTGTAAAATATTTGGCAAAACTATACATCTTCCCCTCCCCACCCCAAAAAAACAAAAAGTGCAGCCCTTCCAGTACAGGAACAGCGGGATTTTTCTCTCCTGAGCAAAGCCACCGAGTTCTCTGCGGCTGAGCGATCTCCTTCGCTGCGGCCTCTCAAACACAGTCGTGACGGGACAGCGGCCGCCGCAGCGCCCGGACCCTGTCGTGACACGCGCAGGGACAGTGACACGTTGTGCGTAAGTTGTGCGTATCTTACAGCTTCATTGAGGAGTGCGCAGGGTCCTACTACAGCTACAATAATTGCACTGCAAACGTGAAGTGAGATGAGGACAAGCTTTTCAGTCTGTTTAGGCGTTGGTTGCTTCCTTCCCCGACTCCTCTTTGTTTGGATCCTGCTTCAGTTTGTAATCGGCCAAGGCAGCTTTGATTGCGTCTTCAGCCAACACTGCCAACAAAATAAAACACAAGGTTACTTAGAACAAACGATGCCTTAAAACCGAGCAGGCAGCAGTGACCCCCGCTGCAGTGTCAGAATCAAAGCATTGCTGAGCTACGGAGTCCAAAAGATGAGACAGATCCAAAAACTCTTAAAATAACCCTGAAGTCTGAGCGTAAGCAAGCTCTTGTGGGCCAACGTTAGCTGCTCCTTGTGCAGACACTTCATTTCTGAACAAGGTTCAGAAGCCCCCACGCTGTTCCCTCTCACACACGAGTCTGTGTCCCTCACTCACTGGAGCAGTGCAGTTTGACGGGAGGCAGGCAGAGCTCTTTGGCGATGTCCGTGTTCTTGATCTGCAGCGCTTCGTCAACCTGAAACACAGTGAATGTGCAGTCACTGGTGACGGGAGAGGCATGCAAACGTGAAGTGAGATGAGGTCTCTGATCTGATCTTACATCAGATCTCTGATGTAAGAGCGCTCGGATGCTCCTGAGCCAGCTGAATCCACATGGAAGATGATCTCAGCTGCCAGGGGCAGGGCAGGGTGTAGGAATGAAGGAATGTCTGACTGAGCAGTGGTGGGAACGAACCAAAGCACACCAGTTTAGAGACTGAGTGAGGGCCACTGAGGGGTGTTCTGTGCTGACCTTTTATCGTAATACAGAAATGCATTTTTTTGTCTGCCAGAAAAAGGTATAAATAACCTAAAAACGCTGCATGACTAAACCTGCAGAACACGGGATCAGCGTGGTTTTGGTTTCTACACAAGACACGCAGCGCTCCCCTGCAGGTTCTTGGCAAAGGCAACCACTGCTCCAGGAGTCTGACGCCTGCCAGGGCTGATGGTCACCGCTTCGTAAGCAACCGCACCACACTGCACGAAACCAGCTCTGGGATTCCCAAGCTGCCCTTTCCTATGCGGTCCCAACAGAGACCACAGGCAGGTTTGACACCTGGAAGGCTTTCTGCAGTGTCACCTCAGCAGGGCTCCTCACCGTTTTCCCTTTGACCCATTCCGTTGCCAATGAACTCGACGCGATCGCCGACCCGCAGCCGAAGGTCTTGAAACGGGCATCGACGATCCTCCCGTTCTCGTCCACTTCCACCTACGACAGCGTTGGTGACACCTCAGTGACCAGCTCGGCTCTGCCAGGTGCCCCAGAGCCACCCCTCAGGGCCTTGGCTGCCACCGTGCCCTCGGGAGCGGGACAGGGCCTGCCCACGCCCCAGGGGACACTTCACGGGGCGGGGTGTGAGGAGGGAAGGCCGCGCTGCACCCCTGAGGGGAAACGGGCAGATTTGGGCCTTGCAGC